TCCTGACAAAACGTTCCTAAATGTCTACTTTCAGGTAAACGTACTTGATAGACCTACTACAGAATCACCATCAATCCAATGTGTGTGCTGTGTAAGATTTTTTTCATGAAGGTAGACTTCTGTCATTTGAATGAATGGGAATCAAAGACACTGTAAAATATTCAAGTAGTTTAGAACAGCTAATTGTTTCCTGAACCCCGTATTTTAGTAAGAAAAAAATTACTAGTCCTCTCCCCTGCTTTTGTAGTGTTAGGGACTGAAACCAGGGCCTTGACCATGCTAACTTCACACGTTTCTACAATTTAGCTACCTAGTCAGCTCTAGTCTCTTGTTTTAATGACAATTTTTTTCCATTCTAGATCAATGAAGGAACATTATTTTCTGAGACTTTCCATCAAAGATACTCACAGGACAAGTTTCAAAACTCAGTCTGTTCCCACTGAGGGTGACAGAAAAGAAACACCTTGGTAAATGCTCATGATAATCATGGTTATTCTTGGGTTTTCTGATTGTTTGTTTGTTTTTCTATAAGGAATTAAACTCAAGACCTTGTGCTTGCCAGGCAGGCACTGTGCTACTGAGCTACATCCCCAGCCCCAGTCATGATTACTCTTGAGGATATGAATTTTGGAATTATTATCTTTTTATACTATTTTTCTCTTTCTACAGTGAATATGAGGTCTAGGAATGTGGCTCACTGGTAGAGTGCTTGTCTACCATGCCCAAGGTCCTAGGTTCCATCCCCAAGACTTAAAAACAAAACGAAAAAAATGAATTTCATATAAAATGGCACAATGAAAAAAGGACAGGTTAAAGACTGACTATACCTGCCTCATGAGAGAAGAAACAAAACAGTCTGTCTAGTAAGTGTTAGTTTAAGGAAAAGGTCTCAAACTCTTCCACCCTAAGTGGGTAATATTAGCATGTCTTCAAGTGAAAGCCACACAACACCCAGTTCTAACCTACATCGATGCTGCTATTACATGATGTGCTACAGGAGTCAGGCAGCTCTCGGCATGCAAAACTAGAGACATTTTATGTGGCTTAACAGAGAAACACAATTCCAATTCAACACCAAGTTTACTGGTTTTCACCTCAGTCAGACTTTTGAGTTTGAGGTTTAAAGAAAAAAAAACCTGACACTGAAACCATCAAAAGATAAAGAAAGAGGGAGGAGAGTTGGGGGGAGGCAGGGAAGGAGGAAGGAGAGGATGTTAAGAAGCAAGAAGAGGAGAGAGGGCGTAAGAAGAGGGAGGGAGAGTACAGCTGATAATGAAGCCAGCTGCCTAGTGTTAAAGGTGATAAGAACAAGGAAAACTGTGGCCACCTATCAAGAAGTACTGATCTTTTAGACAAAAATATCATTCACTAACCAGAGGCTTCAGGAGGAAAGGGCCTCCTACAGAACTCTTTTTTCTCTGCTTGGTGCCATCAAGGCTTAGCCAGCTACATACTTGATTGCTTATGTGTCAGGGTCACTCAGGGCTTACCAGTGCCCATCCCTTGGTCTTTGTTCCTCTCAACTGTCACCCTGGGAGCTTACTGAAACTGTGACAAGAACTTTACAGCACTGTGTTTTGCTTTGGGGAACAAACATAGTAGACTCCAAGCCTGACACCTCTGTCCTAGAATACAACTCCAAGTTCGGTGAACAATTTCAAACACCCTGTCTATTGGAAAAGGAAAAATCTATTAAAAATGTCCACACCAAACTGGGAACATAACTCAGTGATGGAGCACTTACTTAGGATATCCTAGGCCCTGGGTTGGATCTATAGTATTATAAAAAAAAAAAAAAAGTCTCTTATTTTTTTTATTTTTTATTTTTTTTTTTTGCCACAGGAAAAAAAATTTTGCAAATAGGAACGTGTCTAGCAGATGGAAAGAAGGGAAAAGAAGAGGAATGAAAGGGGACAAAAAAAGAATTAAGATGTGTGTTAGGTACATGTACCAATTCCTCACAATGAATATAATAATCATGTTCTATAAAATACATACTATTAAAAAATTAAATTTTTTTCTCTAATCAAATGTTACTGGTACATTTTAGATATACACAATGATCACATTCATCATAGAGAATCTGTACCTGTACATGATACAACTTATTTCATTTTTTTCCCTAAGTAGCTTTTCTCTGGCAAATATGAAGAGTGATTATCACTGGATTACATTCAACCCATTTATCTAATGATGGATATTGGCTCCTAAAATTTAAGTATACATTTTCCTTTATGTTCCTCAAAGAAATATTACATGTAAAGACAGATAACATATATTACAAGATTTTCTTGCCTCTTAGATTCCTCTTTCTGCTCTTTGGAACTTGGTATTTTATTTAATAATTAACTTGTAGCCTTCTCCTTTTATTACAGAGTTTTAGCAAGTATCAAATTACTACAGATGAGACCAAACTGAATAAACAAGAACTTCACACAACATGACTGACCTACCAGCAGTGAGCACAACAAGACTGAGAACCTAATTTCCAAATCTATGTCTGGAAACTTTGGTCATAATACTTAAAAATTAAATCACTCTGACCTTAAAGGGAAGAGAAGTTACATAATAAATATATTTTTGTCATTTCTGCCCAATGCTTTTATATTCCATTAAAATATTTATTTTTCTTTTTTAAAAAATATACTTTACAGTATATGTATGTTGTTTTACTCTCTTCAGGCTACCTGGAGGATACCTTTCTATGTTTCCAGGTGCCAATTAATGTTAATTGTTCAATAAACATTTGTTACATTATAAAAAGAATAAATGATAGTGGCCCACACCTGTAGAGTCCGGTACTCTGGAGGGGAGGAGGAAGTGGGAGGTTTGCTTGCACCCATGATTTGGAAACCAACCTGGGCAATATATCGAGACCCAGCCTTTAAAAAGCAAACAAAAACCTAAAAGTGGAGCATGGAGAATGCCTGTAACCTTAGCACTTTGGAGTCTGAGCTAGGATAATCACAAATTCAAACCCAGCTGGGCAACTTTGCAAAAGAACCTGTCTCAAAAAAAAAATTTTTTTTTTTTCTTAAAGGGCTAGGATGCAGCTCAATGTGAGGGCTGTAGGTTTAATCTCCAGTACAGAAAAATGAAATAAAATAATTTTAAAAACAGCCTGCAGTGACTTAAGACAAGAACCCAGGTCAATGGCAGTGGACCTGCGTGCCACAGCAGGCTGTATCACTGACAGCTCTAAAAGGTTCACCGTCACTCGTCTAAGCCTTATAACTCCTTATATTCTGCCCATTCAAATGTCCTAGACTTCTTTTTCAAAATATTTTATTCAAACCACCAGATGATAATAATGACAACACTGCTCTAAATACTTAACGCATTATCACCCCTTGCCTTCTCATCCAAGCACACATTGTGGAGAACTTTCAAAAACGCTCTCCTCCACTCTCACCATACCAATATCCAATTTTCAAACCTAAAGAACCGTTACACTGTGTTAGCCCAAAGTTAAATCACTAAACTTACACCATCTGTACTTCAGCCAAATCTGGCTGGCAGGCTATTGCAGCAAGCTTGCCCTTCTTCAGAAATTCACTTTCTTATTTTGTGATTACTTCCTAATCACACCACAGCGCCTTCTTTGGAAAAGAAGAACCAGAAGACAAAGCAGTCTTCCGTGGAGTCACCCAGGTGGCACCAACAGAAACTGAGAGGGATTTTTAAGCCCCTAAGAAGGGAATCATCTGTCCACAGACAATTATATCCTCATGCCCGGTGTGGAGACAGGAAATAAGGATGTGTGATTCAGCAGCAGACAGCCAACCTCTTTGTGCTGACTGTCAAACAGCAAAGATTCTACCTCGTGGATACCATTCTTTGACCTTCACTTCCCTGAGTCAAAATGAACCAAAGCTGCTTAGAAGCTCTGGCTGGTAATGCAAGGGACCACACTGATTTCCTAACAGTAGTAACATTAGATTCCAACCAAGCTTCCCTTTTCCTTAACAAGAAGTGCTGCCAGGCTGCTCAGAAATTCCCCTTCTGAGTCCCACAGCCATTCCGGAAACATGAAAAACTCACTATGCCACAATCATAGCTTTTCTGTACTGTGTCCAAAATAAACTGTCCAAGCCAAGTAAGACTGGAAATGAAGTGATACCCAGTGAGAAAACAGACAGCCAATGAACTTCTCAGGTTTCACTTAACAACACAGCTCTCAGTAAATGACTGAGCATAAGGGTACTTTTCAACCTTATTTAATAAAACATCCAGCAGAAAGTTGCTCGGCATATGCACCGTGCCTTCAGATCAAGTTAATGATGAAGACAAAACACAGGCCTAAAGGTTCACTGGCAATAGATTAAGGAATTCTGATCAAGGGGTAAGTAATAAGGTCCTAATCCTGAAGTTCTAAACTTCTAGGGGGAAAGAAGGCATGAGTAGATAAGAATAATAACAAAATTTGCTACATGCAGGAAACTATTCCAAGCACTCCAGTCTTTTAACTCATTCAAAACTCACCAACAGCCTTATAAAACTGATATCAATCCTCACTTTAAGTACACAGAACAAAGAAGCTAAGCAACTTGCACAAAGGTTTAGCAGCCAAGAAGTGATACGAACTGGTCAGGCTTCAGATTCCATAGAAATCAAGGGAAGCATAGCTTCCCTGGGCCTCACCAATATGCACTCAAATCATGGCCAGCACAGGCTTCTAGAAGCCCAGCTCTCCTTCCATATGTTTGCTTGTGCTTTCCACTTCAAAAGATGCGACATCCTGTAACTCACAATACCCTTTTGAAAGCAATGTTCAATGTGAGAATACTGCATCCTCATTTTACAGGGAGGGAACTCAAACCTGGGTTCCTAAACTTCTTCCCTAACAATGCTCTGCGAAATAGCCTGATGTATGCGGTAGGAAATTCGGAAGAACCAAAAATGTAAATAATACAAAGACTGAATGTCAAAAAAGCTTATTCGAAAGCTTTAAAAGTAGGGACATACGAAACCGAAGGGTCGGGGGCACGTACCCTACTTACATGTCTTGTGCAACGTGTCCCTACACAAACACCCTTCTAAATCCCGGTACGCAGCCGGATCCGGGAGCTGCACACAATACGGGCCGGCCCGGCCGGTCCCCTGACAGGGCTCTGGGGGCAGCGGGACTTCCAAGAGCATTTTGGTGCAATGGGCGGCGGGAGAGCACGAATTCGCTCCCGAGGCTCGGCAATCACGAAGGGGAGCGCGAGACCTTGTCCTGTGCCGCAGCCTCGCAGCGCGTCCACGCACTCTGGACCATGGACCTGACAAGTCCAGCCCGCGATGGGCTATTTTTCCTAGGCCGCTATGGGAAAGACGCGAGGCACGGTGGCCCCAGAGCCCACTCTCTGCCCTTGTTTCCCGGCGCCCTCCGTTCTGTCTTCCTTTGAGTAAAGCGGCTTCTTCAGTCCCCTCGACCCGCGCCTGGCGCCACAGGCCCTCGCGGTCCGCGCCTCGTCGCGCAGCACTGCACCGCGCGCCGAACCCACACAGGCCCCGAGCCGCCCTGCGCCCTCTCACCCGCCCTGCGCCCCTCTCGCCCGCCTCGAGCGGAGCGCCGCGGCCGCTGACCTCGCCTGTCCCCGGCCTCAGCGACTCCGGAACCACCTGACACGCAGCCCGGGCGTCTGGGACTCCATAACCCTGCAGCCAGCGCCGGCGAGCCAAGCCCCTGCCCTCCAGTGATTGGTCGGCACGACGAGGGCCGTGCACCCTTATTGGCAGGCTCGCTGCAGCTATCAGGGCGCGTGGCAGCCCCGCCAGGACCAAGGCTCCGCCCGTCCCGAGCCAGGCGGCGGGGTGGGGGTAGGGAAGGGGGTGGGGCCGAGGGGGCAGGTGTGGCCAAAGAGCTCGCAGATCCAGAAGGTGCTTACACTTGGAAACTCACGTTCCGTGAGCAACCTGGAGACAAAATTCCTGCAGTATTTCGCTTACCGCTTTTTGTTAGTTACTGACAGCTCCCTTCTTCTAGAGAAGTGACTCTACCAGGTACAGCTTCACCCTATAATAAAGCACGGCCACCCGACAGGACCATTTTCTTTCCATCCTAGAGACACATCATCATATCTGCAAAGTTGCTCCACCAACAGCGGCCCACGCCAGGGAGGAACCGTGAAGCCTCGGCCAGTGCAGCCAATCCGCCTGCATCAGGTGTTCTACTCCAAGTCTCACAGCGAGGCTTACCTGTCAACCTCACCCCACTTCGCTATAGATAACTAGTCAACAGGGGAGAATAAACTCCCTAACACATCACCCTAATTTTCTACAGTGTCTTTAATATCTACTAAAAATAATCTTAGACCTCTCTCTACTGGTTTCGGCATTAAAGAAAATCAAGCTTTTTTTTCTTCATCAAAAAGCTAAGCGCTAGGAGAAAATCTTACTAAGTTATGAAGTCCAAGATTAGAGAAAAAGGAGAGTAAGCCGCATAAAGAAATATTCCAATAGAGTGCAAATCAAAAACATTCTCAGGAACCAAAACCAAGCAAATAAAAATAAAACAAAAGTGGGCCAAGCATCATCCACTTCGTTGCTCAGGATGGTTCCCACACGGAATGTCTCCTGGAGAAGAAAGAAAATGCACAAATTAGTTTTGAGAATAACTATAGCAAATCTGGAATTTTGGAAAGGCTTGACAAAGTTCCGCCAGACCAAACCCTTGCCTTGGGAACCTCTGCTGCACCTAGAAAAGAAAAAGGCTGGAGTGGTCTTGTCACCCACCCGTGTTGCCTTTATGGGGCAGCTTCCCTGGGTTGCTCTGAGCTTGCTGGCTACTTACTTAGTTCACAGTGTGGAGCTGCCTCCGTATTAGACTGCTTCTTCTTCATGGTGCAGAACGGGTCTGACTTTTCTCAGGGCCACCGTCCCTCTATTTATGCAGGTACACCTCCCACAGTTAATAAGGACGCTTGAGGCTGCTCAAGGTAATGCAGCATTCATTGGTAAAGAGTGGTGGGAATTTCAAGAGGCAAACCACACCCTCCAAAGCATAATCAAATTTCATCTTTGACCTGCCAAGAAAAGAGACGCATTACATACTTGCCACTCCTAGATATTAACAATCGACTTAATACTTTTATATTTCATTTCTGTGCCATTTGTCAAGAACTGGAGCTGCGGGGGGAGGGGTGCTGGTGGAGGAAAGGGGCGGAGTAAGAGGAAATTCCTTCAGGATGCCGCTCCCTTGGAGTGAAACCAGCCCACGTAGGATGCTGCTTGTGCACTAGGACTCAGCTCCTCTGAGTCGACGTGAAACTAATTAACCCAATGACTGACAGTCCGTGTGGATTTTCCACATATTACGTGCAGTACTGATGCAATTACAAGGAGTCTCAAAGTGAAAGGCAAAAAGGCCGCCTTGACTATCCTTTGATATCAGAAGGAGCCGCTGGCAACAGCCTGGTCAATCAGTGATCTGTGGGCGGAAAACAAAGGCAGACAAACCTAGGGTTGGATGCCTGATGGAAAAAGACAAGGAAAAGACCTTGAAACTGCAAAAAATAAATTCAGGGCAAACCAAGAATTTTTCACTCTGAGAGGAGAGAAACCTAAAGAATGGAGACAATTTGCCCCAAGGATATGATTTACATGACAAAGCGCAGAAAAGACATGCACTGTAAAAACACAATATCATAGAATAAAAAAGAAATAATAAATTCAAACTAGAGAAAGTAAGCTTCCAGGCAAGTGGCTCTGGTTCCTACTCAGTACAACCTTCATAACAGTGGTAGGCATTGCTGAGTGTTCTGTGCAGCAACCCAGATGACAGGCTCTTTTGCTGGGGGTTCACTCAAACACTGAAAGTCATACCATTATAACACCGGCATCCGTCTTCTTTTTCTATACAGACAAGTTCCCTAAGGCAGAGTTACCTCTGCCGCCTGGGGTGGGGACATTAGTTCTACTTCAAGGGAGAACAGAAGTAAGTGAAACCATCCATGAACTACAGGTTTACAGGGAAAAGGCCTAAGTTTATGCATTCTGACAGAATAGGACTGGGGATGTAGTTCAGTGGTAAAGACCCTGCCATGCATGTGTGAGGCTCTGGTTTGATCCCAAGCACTGCAAATAAAATAAAAATAGGGATGAATTTTAAAATGAAACTCTAGGGCTGGGGATATAGCTCAGTGGCAAAAGTGCCTGCCTGGCAAGCACAAGGCCCTGAGTTTGATTCCTGGTACCAAAATAAATTTTTTTTTAAAAAATGAAGCTACCAAGCCCCATTCTTTTCTTTTTTTTTTTCTTTTTCCTTTTTCTCCCAACGTATACACTCTACTCCTACCTCAGCAGCTCCCTATTCTCACTTCTAGTCACTGACAATGTTAACTGAATTCTTATTATGTACAACATTTATTTAATACTTCACAAACATTCATTAATCCTCACAAGCAACTCATAAGGCAGGAACTATACTATCTTCATTTTACAAAATAGGAATCAGAGGCTTGAGAGGTTAAGTAATTTGCCTAAGGTCACATAGCTGTTTGGCCAGCAAAGTCAGGTGGTGAACACAAAATCTGTTAGATCCAGTTGAGCAAGTACTCAACTACCACACAATACCACCTCTATCTTCTACACTCAGAACGATCCCCTCCCATCTACCTCAAAGACTGTCTCTTTCATAAAATCCTATGTATGTAAATTCACTAATTATTCCACATGACAGTAATGGCAACTCATTTCTGTCCTGATGTTAGTATGCATGTGTATCATGTTAATGTCTGCTTGTCATGTGTGATTTATTTATTTAGTTATTTTTCAGTACTGGAGATTGAACCTAGGGCCTTTGCACTGAGCCATACCCCCAGTCCTTAAAACAAAAAAAGGTTGAGACATTGGTGGTGCACATTTGAAATCCCAGCTCTTAAGAGACTGAGACGGTTTCACAAGTTTCAGGCCAGCCTGGGCTACGCAGTGAGTTCAAGGCTAGCCTGGAATCCACAGTAAAACCCTGTCTCAAAAATGAAATAAAATTTTGAGACAGGATCTTGCTAAGTCATTAAATTGCCCAAGCTGAGCTTCAATTTATGATCCTTCTATCTCACCCTTCCAGAGAGCTGGGATTATAAGCATGTACTACTCACTATACCTGGGTTTTTGTTTTTGTTTTTGTTTTTATTTCTATTGGTACTGGAGATTGAACGCAGGCCTCATGCATGCTAATTTAAGCAAGCGTCCTACCACTGAGCTGTATCTCCAGCCTCTGTGTCTTATTTATAAAGAAGTTCTACATTCCATGCTTTGTTTCCACTCACTCTTTTTTTTCACGTTTTTTGTTTGATCTAAAACAACTACCTAAAATTACCTCCTACTGCTCTTTCGCTTCTTTATTTGGAGAACCCTTTTGTCTTTAAAGTTCTCTTAAACTACCCACCACTGTGATCACTGCCTTACTCCTGTCCCAGGCACAATTATACATATACTGTATTCTGTGTGCTACACAAACATTTCTTATCCTGCTCTAGCACTTTAATTCATTCTCATTATTACTGAGAACGACTATGTACCCAGCTCAGGTTAAGCAGCACTGGTACAAACACAAATAAAATAAAAACAGACTCTTATAGCAATTATTGTTCTTGTGCTTTCTTCTTCTGTTAAATTATGAACTTCTCAATAGAAGAGATTATTTTATTTTGACATCTGTTGGGAGAAAAAGCCAGGTATATAGGGAGTGTTCTATAAATGTATTATCTCCTTTTATGTATTAAGACTCTTGAGCAATAATGAATAATAGCATGTCTATTTATGTATGTATTTCTAAAATTGTATATTATCAATGTATGTTATAAATTGCATGTTATCAATTGTATATTATCAATAAAAATATCGCTTACATCAACTCTGCTAGCTTCCTAAATTATTCCACTGATAAACACTGGAATACAGGGCCTAAGATCCTCTTTAAGAAGGAAGAATGTGTTACTCGAGCTGTTTGGAGTAGGAATGATGCTGTAGGTGACCCTAGGATATCGGGTCACATCCCCTTCCCAAGCAGCCCATATCCAGCACCTCAGCTATGGGACACTCACCCCTGTCTCCTCACCTTGATATACATCTGAAGGTTGGTTGAACCTTTGTCATATCACAACTCTACTTCTCCTGTCCAGTTTTGCTGCCTTTCTTCCCTCAGTACTAATCCCAAGATCATGTTCTAATAAATGTCCTGCTGTCTCTGAGGTGACTTCCCTTGTTGATTCTTCCAGTAACTCGAAATCAAAGTTGCTGAGGTGTAATCTGGACACACTGCATCCTCACCCCTTGTGGATTTCTCTACCCTTGTATCTTTTCTGGAAATTCCTGCCTCCTTGGCTATCTTGGGATCATCACTGACCATCTACAGTGAGGACCAACTCCTTCATCATCTTCATATCTGAAATGTTAAACCACTGTTACACCTCTGTCTTTGGTGTCTATCCTATTTTGCTCTCTGGAGTTCACCTCTTTGGATTGTCCTTCCTGTAAGTCCTTTGGTGGCT